AGGGTAGAAATCTTCATACGACTTTTGGAGCTCGGCTGTCATCGTGGCCATCATGATACATGCCACCTTAGTAGCATCTCTCTCATGAGTCCTGAATTCAGCGATCTCCTCAGGAGTAGCAGTAGACTCATCAAGTTCTTTTAACTCCTTATCGAGGACATATTCCTTGTCCTCGTAACGAGTAACCATCCTGATGTTCCTAATCCAATCCATGAAGTTGGAACCATCAAAGATGACCCCCACAAAGATTCATGAGAGAGAAAGAACCAGTTGGGTTAGAGCCTGAAGCATTAGTGTTGGAAGACATCTGAAAGAAGAAAGTAAGTTTAGATTAGATATTTAGGATCCTTAATAAGACACCCAAATGTAATATTAAGGCTAGGATCCAATCACAATATATTACACTTAGAAGAGGGATGCCGTAATCTAAGTAATAATATATTTGAAAGGTAGGTGAATGACGATTCACCAATTTCCACCATGAAAACGAAATGATTTATTAGGTTTAATTGGATTTGAAATTCCTAGATTCTTTTGAGATTCATTGAACTTTTCAATGGCATGTTTCAATCTCGATTGTGCCCTTCAAGTTTTGTGACTGGGATGCCGAGGATCACAAAACAAGGTGTGAATAACCATGCTAATTCACTTGGTACTCTTAATATTATCACCTAATCAATGTGCCGGTTAACCACACACGCTCCATTGATCTATGACAAACATTAAGTCACCCTTCGTGATCCTTACTAGTCCTAGTTAGTGTGCCGGTTAACCACACACGCTCCACCAACGACTTGGTAAGGTACAAAGTGTGAATTCCATGGACTAGCACCATGTTCACATTTTTCCTAAAATAACTAAGATTGGGAATTAAAAGAGTTTAGTTATTTTATAATATTCATTATACTTTTAATGAGGATTTAAAGTCATTGTTCTACCCATTCGGCTAACGACCCTCCACCGATCAAGCAAGCGGTGGGTGAGAGTATACACCCATTAAGTCGCCATTTTATAGGCAACAACCTTATACCCACCTTATAGACCGGCTTCGTGAATGAGGCCTACTAACGGTAAAACGACTTATTCTTATACATATATATAATAATTAACCATTAATGTTATAAATAGTATAAGGGTTGAATTTTAACTATTAAAACTCTAAGGTTTGGAATTAAAGTTTATTAAAGTGTGTGAAACTTTACAAATTCCAAAACTTGAGGGCAAGTTTTGTAACTTTGCAAAACTCTTCATTTCATAACTTATGAATTAAAGGTTCATAAAAATGAAGACTCTTCATTTTCATGTAACTTATGTGTTTTAAGTGTGTGTTAAATGAAAGTGACCTTTGGTAATCCATAACTTGAGGACAAATTATGGACTCCATTAAAACACATAAATGATAAAGAATTAATCCTAAACAATTCAGCAAATAATTCCTATCATTTTCTAAATTCATAAGAACATGAACATGATCATCAAAAATTCAAGAATTATATGAACACATAAAATCATGGAATTTTGATATATGCTATTGCAAATGGATTAGAACAACCATTACACCAACTAAAATAAGTTTTATAACACCAAAACAGTTTAGGGTAATGTTTCTAGTCCATTTCCAGCAGCAAAAGTCGAGAATCTGCACTCTTTCGATCCTACTCGTCGAGTGCATGAACTTACTCGCCGAGTAGGTTGAAGTTTGCCTTGGACTCGTCGAGTCCCCCAATGGACTCGGCGAGTCCACCATGCTGACAGCAACGATTTCGACTTTTTTCACTATTTTGCATCAAGTATCAAACAAGCAAGCCTAGGCTCTGATACCACTGTTGGGTTTTGAGCAATCTAACACTTCCTAAGTGTGCATGCAACCCTAATAAACCTTGGATCTATGTTTGTCTAAATACATGCAAAATAATAATTTTCCAAGGTTTATAACCTATCTAACATGGCATGGGGAACATTTCAACATAAAAGAGTTAGAAGAGATTACATACCTTTTGGTGAGTTTGGTTCTAAGGAGTTTGAGGGCCAAGCACCAATAGTGTGAATGCCTCAAATGGAATCACAAACACCACAAACTCTTGGAAAACTTTGAGAGAGTATACACCTTGTATAAAATCGGCCACACACATGCACACACACACTAGTTCACTAGTTTTCTCTTAGGCTCCATTTCATGCTCCATAAGCATGCTTATATAGTGTGCATGGTTAGGGTGAAACCCTAATAACCCATGTCTTTTCCTTTTCCAAGGATCCATGGGTTAAAAGCTCCATGGATCATCCATGGACTTCCACATAAGCCTAGCCCATTAACAAATGAGTATTAGCCCACACTATATAAAACAAATAGCCCATAATTTAATTAGTATTCCTTTTAATCTCTAAATTAATTCATAATTAATTTAAGACTAAAACTAATAAAATAACGTAACTTCATATTAATATATTATAACTCATAATATATTAATAAACATATGTGTATAACTCTCATAAAATTATCCATAATAGTTTGGATGAGATGCAACCCAAATGGACCATGCCGGTCGGGTCAAGTATATACCAAATAAGTTATGGACTTAGACACCTTATCCAACAGTTACATCATTAATGACATCTTGGTTTATTCCAAGACACAGGAGGAGCACGAGGAGCATCTGAGAGAGGTTTTGGAGACCTTGAGGAGAGAGAGCTTGTACGCCAAGTTCTCCAAATGTGAGTTTGGTTGCGCGAGGTGCAGTTTCTTGGGCACCTCGTCAACCTAAAAGAGATTTCAGTAGACTCGACCAAGGTGGAGGCCGTGATGAGATGGGAGGTTCCGAAGTCTCCATCCGAGATTCGGAGTTTCCTAGGATTAGCAGGCTACTATCGGAGATTCATTCAGGATTTCTCCAAGATAGCCGTACCCCTGACACGGTTGACTAGGAAAGCCATGGTCTTTCGATGGGGGCCCGAGCAGCAGGCAGCATTCAAGATTCTGAGGCGGAGGTTTCCTTGAGGTATAACTCAATTTCCCTCTGTTTTCATGCTTATATTCCTTTGTAGCTCCATTAAAGTGCTTCTTGAGCCATTTCCAAGCTTGTTTTCGAGTTAGGATTTGTAATAAGTTGATTAACCCTTAGATCTAGCCATGATTGAGCTACAGGAGCTCAAATTTACTGCCTTTATGGAGCTATATTGCATGAAAGCTCTAGATCTACTCTTTTAGTGCATTTTGAGTCCTAAAACCTTCATTGGTGTTTATTTACACGTAAAGTTGGAAACTTTACGTGTTAATCAGGCCCTAAGAACCCAGATCTTTGTATGGCATGAGCTGGTTTCAAGCAAAATCGAATATGTAGTATTTGCATGAGAAAGACTCGGCGAGTCGTTTATCGGACTCGGCTAGTCGAGTCGTGAGTCCCCGAGTTTTCCCCCTTTTCGTGTTTGCTGGGTGGAGTAGTGAGTCATGGGATGTGACTCAGTGGGTCGGAAGCCAGACTCACTGATGAAGGAACTTGGCGAGTCAATGCCCTGACTCGGCGAGTTCAAGGCAATCTTCTTACCTCAAGAACATACTCGGCGAGTTGTTCATACAACTCGACGAGTCTCAACATAGAATGTTCTTCGGATTAAGATGAACTCGACGAGTTGATCATACAACTCGGCGAGTAGGATGAAGGACTATTGGACATCGATTTAGAAGGAAAACTCGTCGAGTCAATGCCTAACTCGACGAGTAGAGACGGGGTTATGGTCAATCGAATGGATAGGGACTCGACGAGTTGGCGACCCAACTCGGCGAGTCGGGTCAACTGGAAGTTGACTTTGACTTTGACTCTTGGTTTGGATAGGGGTAAATGGTCATTTTACCCTGAGGTTGGTTAGCAGTATTTGACTGAGTGTTTGGTGGGAATTGCAGTCAGAGGATTTCCGGAGTAGCAGCAGCAGACAGACCGTTCCCACGCAGATCAGCAGCTACTACGAGATAAGTTACCTTCCAATAGCGGTGGGTCTAAGGCCACAATGTCGGCCCACCAGTAGGAGACGTATGATAGATGATTGTATTTGTGATATTATCTAGGTTTGCTACTACCTGATATGTTTTATGCTAGCATGATATGTTGTATGTGATAGTAGTAGAGTTCGGTTGTTAGACCCGAAGGGTAGTCAGACACCCTAAATACGTCTGACAGTATGTGATGATATGTTTACATGCTGGCTTGTTATGTTATATGCGATAGAGGCAGTAAGAGGGGACCAGTCCCCGAGTTCGGTTGATAGGATCGAATGGTAGTTCAAACACCCCAGATATGTCTGATAATATGTTATGTTATGATATATGTGATAGTAGCAGTAGGGGTGAAATAGTCCCCGAGGATCGGTTGTTAGGGCCGATGGGTAGTCAGCACCCCAGAATGGCTTGACATGGGTAGTCAGCACCCCAGAACGACTTGACATGGGTAGGTCGGCACCCCAAAATGGCCGTACCAGGTAAGTCGGGCACCCCAGAATTGCCTGACAGTATGTATGATTTGTGATTGTATGGTATGTGGTATGATGGGGGAACCCACTAAGCTTCGTGCTTACAGTTTTCAATTTTGGTTTCAGGTACCTCTTCTTCGAAGGGGAAGGAGCTGGCGCGGTAGCGGCACATCACACACACGCTTTGTATTCCGCACTACGAGATCTTCCTGGGGATTTGTACTCTGATATTGTTATGTTTTTATAAACTGGTTTCTAGATACGCACATCTTTTATGAAATGATATGATCGGTGGATGTTTTATTTCTAATGTTTTGCTAAGTATGTGTTTTAAAAATGAAATTTTTGGCTCGTATTTTTGGGACGTTACAGTTACCCAACATTTTTTTAACTTATTAATTTTTGAAAAAAATCAATAAATTAATTTTTAAAAAAATAATAAATTAGTTATTTTGAAAAAAAAAAAAAAAAAAAAAAAAAAAAACAATTTAAGATTTGAAGAGAATAAATAGCCTTCCCTGAAATGGATATAGAAGACTAGAACTCTAGAAGTATAGAACGAGACTCTTAAACAACAGCCAAGTAGAGACATACGAAGTGGGTCCCATCTATCACATCAATAATCGGTGTTCCCAATGGCTTTCTCTGGAGGAGTTGTATTGCGAGCTATAAATTCACGAGAAAACAAACAAGCAATTGATCAACAACAATGGAGAAATCCAAGATCGGAAGAAGATTTGAAGGGAAAGTTGCGATTGTTACAGCTTCAACTCAAGGCATAGGTTTCGCTATTGCTCAACGGATCGGCTTAGAAGGCGGATCTGTCGTCATCTCCTCTCGCAGACAGGTTCTTCTTATTCTTCTTCCTCCTCCTCGATTTCAGTTATCTAGTTGTTTTGATATTTTACCTCCTTAATTTTGGGGTTCTATCAGAGAAATCGCACCTGTTGTACTTGAAATTATCTCGACAGGATTGTTTTTGTTTTTACTTCAGTTGAGACTTGAGTGCGGTTTGACTTAGAATTTCTATTATATTACTGTGAATTGGGATAAAAAGCTTAACTTTTATATTTCTGATACTTTTTCAAGGATTTTGATGATTGTCTCTTATGTACTACATGAATTTGCTAAAAGAAAGTATTACCTTTACGGATTAGCCATGCTAACTATCCTTCACTTGAACCATTTGATTTTCTGATTACGATTCTAATTATTTACGTATCAAAATCCACATCCAAACATCCCCTGATATCACATGAATTATGATTCATCACCTCAGATTAGGGATTGCTCATCATAGACTAGAGTATCGTATTGATTACCATGTTTGCACTTCTTATAGCTTATTGATTTGGGTATCAGTATCACTTTAAATTATTCTCTATTACTTTGATTTAGGTATCACTTTAAATTATGCTCTATTACTTTGATTTAGGTATAAAATGATTGGTTTGACTTTTGAAAGTGATTTTATATACAAAAATATTCAAATAGTGATTTACTTGATTTAGTCATCTCTTGAAATGTCCATGTTTATAATAGTTCTTGTTTCTCCTTAGAAAATGCAACTTTAAGGTTCCATGTCCTATTAAGATTTCTGTTTCTTAGTGTGAATTGGACATAATCCATTTCGTGTACTTGCTTATCTTAATTTTTATAAAGATTCAAATTGAGTTTAAAGATGAAATCATTTTTTTTAGAGAAACGTTGATGAGGCAGTGAAAAAGCTCAAGGCACAAGGAATTGAAGTGCTTGGATTGGTTTGCCATGTTTCTAATGCACAGCAGAGAAAGAATCTCATTGACCAGACTGTTCAGGTAAGGATCATCTTTGACCTTTATTCTTATATTTTTGTGTGTGTGTGTGTGTTTAGTTTCCCTTTTCAAGTTGATTATTTAGGTTTATGTAATGAGTAATCATACTAATGGTTTTGCAGAAATATGGTAAGATAGATGTGGTAGTGTCGAATGCAGCAGCTAATCCCTCAATTGATACCATTCTCAAAACTCAAGAAGCAGCCCTTGACAAACTTTGGGAAATCAATGTTAAAACATCTATATTACTTCTTAAGGTATAAATCTTCATATCAAAAATATTTTTCTAGGAACTAGGGCCAAAAAGGGTATCTTTGTCTTTTTATGACCCATTTCTCACGCATTACATAACAGTATAACAAAACACGTTGTACTGCATTTGAGTGGGACTCAGAGTCTGATGTCAATGGGACAAAGACTTTGCTCTCGATCTTTCTTTGTGTAAAAGACATGAATGCCCTCAGTATCATCAAATTGAGAAATATATATATATATATATATATATATATATATATATATATATATATATATATATATATATATATATATATATTTTTGAACAGGATGCATCCCCTCACTTGAGAGAAGGTTCTTCGATTGTTTTCATTTCCTCAATCAGTGCTTTCCAACCTCCAGCTGGCTTGGCTATGTATGGTGTCACCAAGACAGCTCTTCTTGGCCTTACCAAGGTATCAACATACATACATACATACATACATCAAATGTTTCTTTCTCACTATAATTATTGTTTTTTTTTTTTTTAGGCTCTTGCAAATGAGATGGCCCCACATACTCGTGTGAACTGTGTAGCTCCGGGATTTGTTCCCACACACTTTGCTGAATATATTACCAGCAATGAAGCCATGGTAAGTCACTCAAACTTTGTAACCCTTTTGAAAGATTAATGTTTCTTTTTGACTAAATGGGCTTTATTGGGGATATGACAAAAAGTCATATATATAGATGAGTGTTTCTTTTTGACCTAATGCAAAAAGAACGACTTAATAGAGAAAGTCAGAAAAAAGAGGTTTTTTTTTCATAAAGTCCTAAACTGAAAAAGGAAAAAGGAAAAGAGAATTCTGATGACATGACATGACATGATATGGAATATATTTTGAGTGATTTCATGTTGTTAATGACAGAGAAAGAGCTTGGAAGAACAGACATTGCTGAAGAGGCTGGGGACGACGGAAGACATGGCGGCAGCCACCGCTTTCTTGGCGTCAGATGATGCTTCGTATATTACCGGTGAGACCATTGTGGTTGCTGGAGGAATGCCTTCCAGGTTATAAAAGTTTGGATAATAATAATAATAATAAAAGGTTTTGTTTTGTGTAGCCAAGTTGATGTTAAGATATTGGATTTGTGTTGCTATTAGTTTCTTATACTAACTTCTATCCTTACATTTTCTTTGAAACGATGCAACAAGTTTGACAAATCCATGTTTTTATAATTTGTTTCAACTCAAAACCTAAAATCCTCATAATAAACACTAAAGGGTTTGTGGACTTTAAGGGTTCAAGTCTTGTCTTGGGACAAATGTGTAGATTAAGGGTTTGTGAGTTAATTTTGATTTAAATTAATGGACACATTTGTTTACAAAAAATAGTAAACATACTTTACAATCTATTTTATTTTTTCACATGTGGTAAAAAAAGGAACTTGCATTTTGATCATCTATAGCAACGTGCTTATATTGTTTTACTAATAGTACCAAAATATGTAGCTGCGCTGTACTTATATTTTCTTTTAAACATTTTGACAAAATTCTTATAGTTCCTTATATATATATATATATATATATATATATATATATATATATATATATATATATATATATATATTCGTGTCGGTGACAAAATGCAAGTGTATTGCTACTGTTAGTAAGGAATATAAATAATATAGGTATGTTGCTATTCTAGATAAAACTAAAGTAAATTGCTATTATTAGTAAAGAAAGGTAAACATGATGCTACTATGGATAAAAAGAAATAGATATTTGTCTGCTTTGCGAGCTTATAAATCGTAAATACTGGCATATACGAATTTAACTACAAGTGTTAGCATTTTAGGATACAGATACGACACTAAATGTTGATTCAACATTGATGCTTTCACAATAATTATTAGAATCACAAAGCCAGTTTCAACAATATATAATGTTCGTAATTGTAAATCTTGAAAATACTACTTGAGAAATTCAAAAAGCCAAAATGCATCTCTCATTTACATAAAGATCATACCTAGAAAGAGAAAGTGTACGATGAGAGAGTCTATTTGACAAGAATCATTGTCCATGAACATAAATTTAGATGGTATATGATAACATCTAGATGGGCACACATTTTTTATGGTTTAGGACACATATTGGCGAGAAGAGTGGTGGAAACAAATATATCTTGTATTGAAATTTACATTGATTTTACCGGTTGCAACATTTATCATGAAGAGACTAAAAATAAAAAATAGCTATGTAACGTTTTGTTTATATTTATTTAATTACAAAAGATTTAATAGAATAATTATAATTATAATAATAATATAAAAATAATGACAATACATTAAAGACAAAATTGCAAAAATGGTTCCTGTGCTATGCATTTTTTTGGGGTTTTAGTCCAAACCGCAACTTTTTTGGATTAGTGGTCCTTTTGAACTAGTTTTGTTGCGGATTTGGTCTCTTGGTAAAATGAAATGACTGTAATACCCTTAGGATTTTTTTTTTATTTTTTCTATTTAATTTAAATAAAAAAGAAAGTAATTAATTAATTTGGGCCTCTCTCTCTTTATATATATATATATATATATATATATATATATATATATATATATATATATATATATATATATATATATATATATATATATATTACCAGCCACACCTTTCAGTGAAGCTACCACCAAACACCATCATCGATTTCTATTATTCATCTTCTTCCCCTCTCACCAAATATCATATCCAGATCTGATGAACACCCAAAACAAAAATTGTATCCAGATCTGATGAACCCAAAGCAAAAATCGTATCAATTTTGATTTTATGTACTTAGATGCACACAAAGTTTGGATAACAATATGTCTCGAACTAACAGACCGAATATGGGAAAATAGAGACTGGATTAGAGAAAATCACAAGAGATAAGATCCATAGGAAATCTGGTCTACTTTGTAGGGCCACTGCAATCAACTCAATCAAAGTTATATGGTTCAGGATTTATGGCTTGAACATTAAACAATGGTTGAAACAGGAGTTGTCACGTTTTTCTTTTGGATTATGCCATGAATGCATTTGAGTCTTAGGAGGTCTTTTGAACTTGTTTAATCAACACTATAGGCTACCGAAAACGTTGTCGAAATCATCCTCGTAATGCCTTAATAATTAATAAATGTCTTAATACACATATAGCTATCAAAATCCATGTAATCACACATGTATGTAAATGTGCAAAGGTAGGTACCTTGGACACATAATTTCTTGCGGTCGAACCTATGATTAGGGAATCCTTTTAGAGATTAATACATTCATAACCTAATGGGTAAATCTCTCACTTAAAAGCATGATGAGTTTTCAAGGAAAACCACTTGTGGGTGAAGGTTACAACTTAGACACCATATGAACACTTTTATTAAAAGTCAACATATAATAAATTGTTTATAATTTACTTTTCCGAAAAATAATGCAAATTCAACCAATAAAACAATCTTAAAAATCAAATAGGGTATTTATATGGAAAAATTAGGTGTCTTTTTAGCCAACCTCATCATTAGAGTGTATACTTTATATCGTTGAAAAAATGTAAGAGTATATTATAATAATATCTAAAAATCTTACTAAAAGAATGGGAATAAAAGAGGTAAATCAGTTCATGAACATACTATTGTATCGGTAAAGAACTAAAATAAATACTCTATAAGTATTATTAAGTAAGGTTTATGTGAAACCAGTAATGATTATTATAACTATGTGTAGAGAGCGTTGCTACTTCATAGTCAACATTCCAGTAGAGATTTCAGTTTCTCTTCAGATCAAGTGAGTTTCACTTTCTATACATGATGTCATGTGCTTTCAGTTATATCAGTATTATGTGATTATGTGTATGCTTAGTATGTTAGATGTAAGATAATGGTTGGTCCATATAATTTCCATAAAAGATTATAGTTGGGCCTATAACACTTCCACTTGATGTAAGACTATATTTGGGTCTATAACATTCCTAGCAAGACTATACATGATTAATCTATAGTATTTCTAGTTTGATGTAAGACTATACGTGTGGCTATAGCATTCACATGTATATAAAATTATGTGTCTCATTACATGTAGTAGATTGTGTAGTTAATGTGTGTTTACTAAGCGTTTTCGCTTACCTGTTGTTTATTAATATTTTTCAGAAATTAAAAAAACCAGCTTGACTGTATCACGCTCGACAAGATTTTATATGACTGTTATGACTATAAACATAAAGTCACTCAAACTTTGTAACCCTTTTGAAAGAGTAATGTTTCTTTTTGACTTAATAGAGAAAGTTAGAGAAAAGAGGCTTTCTTCGTAAACATAAAGTCCTAAACTGAAAAAGGAAAAAGGAAAAGAACATTCATTGTGTAGGCTAGTTGTTGATGGCATGAATTTCATGTTGTTGATGACAGAGAAAGAGCTTAGAAGAATAGACATTGCTGAAGAGGTTGGGGACGACGGAAGACATGGTGGCAGCCACCGCTTTCTTGGCGTCTGATGATGCTTCGTATATTACCGGTGAGACCATTGTGGTTGTTGGAGGAATGCCTTCCAGGTTATAAAAGTTTGGATAATAATGATAATAATAATAAAGGTTTTTTTTGTGTAGCCAAGTTGATGTTAAGATATTGGATTTGTGTTGCTATGAGTTTCTTATACTAACTTCTATCCTTAGATTTTCTTTGAAACGATGCAACAAGTTTGACAAATCCATGTTTTTATAATTTGTTTCGATTCAAAACCTAAAATCCTCATAATAAACACTAAAGGGTTTGTGGTCTAGCTTGTATGTATCAGGAGTTATTAGAAACGTGTCTATCAACAAATACGTACATTGAGGGTTTAAGTCGTGTCTTGGGACAAATGTGTAGGTTAAGAGGTTTGTGAGTTAGTTTAAAAAAACACACAAATATTTTTTTTTTAAAATTAATGGACACATTTGTTTACAAGAAATAGTAAACATATTTTACAATGGATTTTATTTTTTAACATGTAATAAAAAAGGGAACTTGCATTTTGATCATCTATAGCAACGTGCTTATATTGTTTTACTAATAGTACCAAAATATGTAGCTGCACTCTACTTATATTTTCCTTTAAACATGTTGACAAAATACTTATAGTTCCTTACCTGTATATATTTTGTTACTGAGAAGAAAAATATGTAAAAAAATAAATAAAAAATAGAGCACACTCTTCGAGTGGCGGTGGCAAAATGTAAGTGTATTGCTACTGTTAGTAAGGAATATAAATAATATAGGTATGTTGTTATTCTAGATAAAACTAAAGTAAATTGCTATTATTAGTAAAAAAAAGGTAAACATGATGCTACTATGGATAAAAAGAAATACATATTTGTCTGCTTTGCGAGCTTGTAAATCGTAAATACTGGCATATACGAATCTGACTACAAGTATCGAGCATTTTAGGATACAAATACGACACTAAATGTTCATTCAACATTGATGCTTTCACAATAATTATAAGAATCACAAAGTCAGTTTCAACAATATATAACGTTGTAATTGTAAGTCTTGAAGATACTACTTGAGAAATTCAAAAAGCCAAAATGCATCTCTCATTTACATAAAGATCATACCTATAACGAGCAAGTGTACGATGAGAGAGTCTATTTGACAAGAACCATTGACCATGAAAATAAATTTAGATAGTATATGATAACATCTAGATGGACACACATTTTTTATGGTTTAGGACACATATTGGCGAGAATAGTGGTCGAAACAAATATCCAATGGTATATCTTCTATTGAAATTTACATTGATTTTACCTGTTGCAGCGTTCATCATGAAGGGACTAAAAATCAAAATAGCTATGTAACGTTTTGTTTATATTTAATTAATTACAAAAGATTTAATAGAGTAATAATAATTATAATAATAAAAAAATAATGACATTACATTAAAAAATCAAAATAGTCTTGGAGGGACTAAAAAAGAGATTTGGAAACATTAAATGTAAATAATCTTATTTGAGAGACCAATGATGTCATTATGGATAATATAAGGGATCAAAGATGTAAACTATGAGTTTAACCCCATAGTCGACCATAGGGATGAGCATCAGAATTGGAGTTGTCCCTTTTTTTCTTTTGGATTATGCCATGAATGCATTTGAGTCTTAGGAGGTCTTTTGAACCTGTTTAATGCCTTAATAATTAATAAATGTCTTTATGAAAGATCGTCGCATATAGCTATCAAAACCCATGTAATCACATATGTATGTAAATGTGCAAAGGTAGGTACCTTGTACACATAATTTCGTGCGGTCAAACCTATGATTAGGGAATCTTTCTAGATATTAATACATTCATAACCTAATGGGTAAATCTCTCACTTAAAAGCATGATGAGTTGTCAAGGAAAACCACTTGTGGGTTACAAATTAAACACCCTATTAACACTTTTATGAAAACTCAACCTATAATAAATTGTTTATAATTACTTTTCCGAAAAACAATGCAAATTCAACCAATAAAACAATCTTAAAAATCAAATAGGGTGTCTATAATAGGGTGTCTTTTTAGTCAACCCCATCATTAGAGTGTATACTTTATATCCATGAAAAATGTAAGAGTATATTATAATAATATCTAAAAATCTTACTAAAAGAATGGGAATAAAAGGGGTAAATCAATTCATGAACAGACTATTGTATCGGTAAAGAACTAAAATAAATACTCTATAAGTATTATTAAGTAAGGTTTATGTGAAACCAGTAGTGATTATTAGAACTATGTGTAGAGAGCGTTGCTACTTCATAGTCAACATTCCAGTAGAGATTTCAGTTTCTCTTCGGATCAAGTAAGTTTCACTTTCTATACATGATTTCATGTGCTTTCATTTGTATGTAATTATGTGTATGCTTAGTATGTTAGATGTAAGACAATGGTTGGTCCATATAATTTCCATAAAAGATTATAGTTGGGCCTATAACACTTTTATGTAAGACTATATTTGGATCTATAACATTCCTAGCAAGACTATACATGATTAATCTATAGTATTTCTAGTTTGATGTAAGACTATACTTGTGGCTATAGCATTCACATGTATATAAAATTACTAGGTGAATGTCCGCGCGTTGCATGGGATATAAAAAAATATTTTATATTAAAAATAACTAAATCATTGTTATTAACAGTTAAATAATAATTTCATAAAAAATATAAAAAATGAATTTTTGCATTGTTATTATGTTGAACTATATTATAAGAGATAAGGTTGAAACTTGAAGTAGTTTTACATATACAAAGTTATATGATTAAAATAGAAAAAATTAATTTTTAAAAATAAATAAATCGTTATTGCTATCTATTAAATAATAATTTCATATTAAATTAATACGTTTATATTAAATATTATAATGATGTAGAAAATACGATAATAGAGACATCTTTTTATGTATCTTAAATTTTATCATTCTGTACAACATATGATAATAGAGAAAACTTTTTATCTTAAATAGTAAAAAAAATGTTTTGTATTATAAATATTACCATAATTATATGGAACATGACGTCTTTTATAAGGTTTAAACTTTAAATTGTATTACATACAGAGTTGTAAAACTTGGCTAACACAACCAAATACTCAGCATGTTACTTAAACTCGGCCTTCAATGGAAGTGAGTTTTCCTAACTCAACCAGAAGACACTCGGATCCTTATTAAACTCGATCCAAATTTAAAAAATACGGTCCAAAATCATTTTCGAATTTCGGAAATTTAATTGGTTACTTGTTGACAAAGACAATCTCACCAAAGAATACATTCAACATCCTACAAAGTTAGATGCAAGGAAGATCTCATGGCTTAGTCCTTTTCAAATATTTCCCAACCTTTCTTATTTATAGAGGAGAATACATTCTCTTGTTTACTCTCACGATCAATGTGGGATGAAGATATTTTAATTAAACTCATTTCTTTATTTGGTAATAGTTTCATTTTGTTAAATAAAATATTAAATAATAAAAATAAAACTTTATCCAGAAAATTTATTGTTCAATAGTTCTAATTTTCAATTATCTCGTAAGTTGCTATAAAAAATTAAGTTTTTATTGAATAACTTTTTGTTAAATCCTAAAATCATAAATTCAGTTAGGTACTTAATATAGAAAGTTTGTTTATATGTATTTTCATGATTCAAAATGTCATTATAAAATGAATTCATTTATAAAATATAATCGAGTATATATTTCGTGGTTTTGAATCAAAGTGATTTTTCAAATAATTATAATTTATTTAGGTAGATTTTTTTATATTTATATAACATCATGTAACTTATAATATTATTATAAACAATTTGAATAATCATGAGAGTTTCAAATGTATGTGATGAAAGGAAAATGTTTCATTTATCGGTCCAAATTAATCAAATTCGGACCGATTCAGCTTAATATACTAAATTACAAAACGTTTTTTCTAATAAACCCGGTTTGTATATATTTTTTGTTTTTGAATCAAATTTATTTTTCAAACGATTATAATTTTATGTTTAGGTAATATATTTATAATATTATTAGAAACAATTTGTAAAATCATATGAGTTTCAAATGTATGTGCTGAAAGGAAAATGCTTCCTTTATTGGTCCAAATTGATCAAACTCAGACCAATTCAACTCAATATACCAAACTACATAACGATTTTTCAACCGAAACTCTGTTTGAACCTAAAAAAAATCTTCTTCAAAACCATTTTCGGGATTCTAAAACTTAAATGGACAATTGTCAATAAAGACAATCTCACCAAAGAATACCCTCAACACCCTAAAAAGGTAGGCATAAGGAAGTTCTCATGGTTTGGTCTCTTTGAAACATTTCACAATCTTTCCTATTTATAGAAGAGGAAACGCTCTCTTGTTTAATAGCACCATCGATGTGGGATGAAGACATTGTAATAAAACACACTTTCTTGTTTATAAAACATTTTTCAACTTATTTAGTAAAACACCATTTCTCTTGTTTACCCTTTCTTTATGTTCAATAGTTCAATTTTTCTGTAATCTCGTAAGTTGCTATCCAAAAAAGTAAGTTTTAATTGAATAACTTTTTGTTTAATTCTAAAATCATAAATTCAGTTAGGTATTTAATATAAAAAGTTTGTTTATACGTATTTTCAAGATTCAAATGTTCATTATAAAAAGAATTCATTTATAAAATATAATTTGCGTATATATTTCATGCTTTTGATCAAATCGAATTTTCAAACAATTATAATTTTATGTTTAGGTAGATGTTTTTTTTTTTAATATTTATATAACATTATGTAACTTTTTTAAAATATTATTGGCAATAATTTGAAAAATCATGGGAGTTTCAAATGTATGTAGTGAAAGGAAAATGCTTCTTTTATAGTCCAAATAGATCAAACTCGGACTGATTCAACTAAATATACCAAACTACATTTTTTTTCTAGTTAAACCCGGTTTGTATATATTTCGTGCTTTTAAATCAAAGTGATTTTTCAAACAGTTATAATTTTAGGTTTAGGTAAATGCTTTTTTATATTTATATAAAATTATGTAACTTATTTATAATATTTTTAGAAATAATTTGAAAAATCATGAGAGTTTCAAATATTTGTTGTGAAAGGAAAATGATTCATTTATCGGTACAAATTGATCCAAATCCGGTTCAACTCAATATACCCAACTACATAATTCTTTTTCTAATTGCAACACGGTTTAAACCTGAAAAAATACGGTTCAAAACCATTTTTGGAATTCTAAAAGTTAACTGGACACTTGCGAGTATAGACAATCTCACCAAATAATACCTTTAAAATCCTACAAAGGTAGGCATGAGGAAGTTCTCATAGTTTGGTCCCTTTGAAACATTTCACAACATTTCCTATTTATAGAAGAGGAAACATTCTCTTGTTTACTCGTACCATCGATGTGGGATGAAAACATTGTAATAAAACACTTTTTCTTGTTTATAGAACATTATTTAACTTATTTATAATATTATTGTAAAAAATTGAAAAGTCATGAGAGTTTCAAATGAATGTGGTGAAAGGAAATTAAAAAAGAGTGTTTCAAATGCGTGAGATTCAAGAAAAAATGCTAGCTTTATAAGTATGTATGATGTGTCTCGTTACATGTAGTAGATTGTGTAGTTAATGTGTGCTTACTAAGTGTTTTCACTTCCATGTTTATTAATATTTCTCAGAAATTAAAAAAACCAGCTTAACTGTATCACATTTAACAAGATTTTCTATAACTCTTATGACTATAAGATTTTCTATAACTCTTATAACTATAAGACTTAACTGTATCACACTTAACAAGATTTTCTATAACTCTTATGACTATAAGATTTTCTATAACTCTTATGACTATAAGACTTCTGTTTTCATATTTGAATGATGTTTTGAAATTATTGATATTATGATTATTCAAAAGATTTATTCAACATTGACATTTGACTTAAGTTATAAAGAAAGATTTTCAAGGTTTTATTGAAAAAATATTTAAGTTATTTATGTTTGAAAAAAATTAGGATGTACCTGTCATTATAAAAATAAAAAAACGACATTTAAATTATTTATATATAAATCATTTTTAACAAAACATCATTTGAATCATTTTTAAATTATTTATATTTAAATAATTTTAAAAATTGATATTTAAACTACTTATATTTAAATATTTTAAATATAAATTATTTAATATTTCTGCTATTTTTCTCAAATATATAGTTATAAAAATAAAAAACAAAAGCAATAATACATTCATCATTGTGTTTAATAAGTATATGACATGTTTGTCGTTTTGATGACTTAAAAAAAATACTTTCTAAATATATTTTTCTATAAAAATATTATTTTGTATATTTACTATATTTGATTAATCAGTAAAACATCATAAAGATTAAATATATAATATAAGTAATGGGGAGTAAACGGAAATGTTATCAAGCTGGTATTGAGTGGTTATGAAATAGTAACAAGTAATGAAAAACTTCAATGAAGATGCTTTTAATTAATACAACGATTGAGTATGATGTATACATCAAATTTTAATATGCAAAAACAATAATGTATCCCTTTTTTGTAAAAGGTATAACATTTATCAACAAGCATACATGATGCAACCTAAACTTATACGTATACATATTGTTAAGTTTTTTTAAAAAAAAAATTACAAATATAATGTGGTTATATAATTTTAAGCATCTATATAGGGATGTATACAAGTGAAAAGTCAATGATAGTCAAATCTTCAGGCAGAACTTTCACTTTGTAGACGGGATATGATCCATGACTCCATGTGTTGAAGCTCCTCATCACTTATTGAATGGCCAAGATCAGGATATACCTGTTGTTTAATGGTTATGCATAAAAATTTAAGACTATTTATATAATACCTATAAAATGCCCTTCAACAATATTATCAAGAAAAAGAATCTTGCAGAAACAAAATCAAGAACATCTACACCCTCATCATGAGCAAATAGATGTTTTAACTTTTAACTGTGTATGTTCCAAAAAGGGAAATCTTGTCATCCTCATGATCGACTTCCCAAAAAGGAAGTAGTGCAATTTTCAGATGCACATTATATTATTATTATTATTATGATCATTATTGTTATTATTATTATTATTGTTATTCTCAGAGTGAGCATATATATATATATATATATATATATATATATATATATATATATATATATATATATATATATATATATATATATATATATATATATATATATATATATATATATATAGTACCTTAAACTCACAGTTTATGCCAGCTCGTTGAAGGAATGGTGGGCCCGCTTGTCCAGCTTCAAACAACACTGTCATGTCAGCCATACCATGAGACCACAATATCGGAGTCTACACATAAAACCAAAGAACTAATAACTAAGTTTGTTACTAATTAGTTATTATATGGAAATCTAAGAAGCAAGTCACAGTTTCTTTAATTTGTCCTAAGCTGAAGCGAAGATGCATTCTTTTACGTATGTGTGTTAACTCATATTAATGAAAAAATATCAAACATATATTATTATATGCATACCCTTTTTGCCTCCGGTGTGATCTGTTGTATTAAACAAGTATTTGAACTGAAAGGAACCCATCCGCTCAAGACTACACCCCCACCAAGAGTTTTTGGATATAAAACAACACTACCCAAGGTCAACGCACCTGCAACGTTCGTAATTAACATGTTTGTATCATTTTATTTATAAGGATTTACACACACAGAAACCACACACTTTTATGTGCATGTGTGTGTGTGTGTGTGTGTGAGAGAGAGAGAGAGAGAGAGAGAGAGAGAGAGAGAAAGAGACCTCCTTGACTCAATCCGCAAATAAACACATTCTTAGGGTCAACTCCAGTAGCTATCTCCTTGTCAATCACTGAATGCACATTTTGAACTGCTTTAAGCAAGGAACTTTCATCCCTAAGGGAATTCTGTACATTTCATAGGCTAAAATTACCTATTTGTCCATCATCATAGCATTTCAGCAAATTAATAAACCGATGCTAACGATTTGGTCAAACATTTCATAGTTAATTTCCTTATGAAAAGAAGCCAGCCCAAAATCAATTTTCATTTCCATTTATTTTGTTTACACTTATATACAAAAATTTCGCTTATATATTTTAATTATCATCATCATATCCAACTATAAAATATAAGTATCAACATTAGTTACCTAAAAAACAGCTTTCCCTAGATTATAACGAAATTAACTTACAGCTGTTATTGGCATCTCCTGAATGTCAAACCATGAAGGCATCACAAAACCACCTGCAAAGATTGGATGTAAGATATCACATGACAAATACATATTAGCAATTTAGTATAAAAATAATTTAATAAATCATTTTGATACAACTTCACACGTTCATGCCTATGATTTAGCTAATTGGCTTATCCACTTTTTTAAACACAAATTCTACCTCTCATAAGAAATCACTACCAAATTGAAAGATGATAAACAGATAATATGATCAGGAACTATCAGAAACAAGAAATTATAATTTGGGATTTACAATGAGAGCAAGAAAAACGATCGAAAGCCTAAATCAGACAAATATGGATAAGATGCACATATGATCAATAAACGAAAAGCAACAAATCAAAGGATGATGGGTTCATTGGGACATACGGTTACAGGTAACAGGTTGAGGTGGAGCAGAAGGGAAAGACCAACGAGTGTTAGCGAAGTGAGGCGAAGTGAAGAAGGTCTTGATGATGGGTTCATTGGCTGGACCAGAGTCACCTAGACCATGTAGCCATAAGATGAAACTTCGAGACGCCATTGATTGATTGAGAAGGAGAAATATTAAACAAGACTATTAATTGTGCAAACGATGATGGACAACTGGTTTTAACTTATAATGGGAGTTGACTTGACTATAAAAATATGGACTTTTGCAGTTTTCTTCGATCAGTTTTCGACCCTCCAAACTAACGCCTTTGATTCTTGATACCGACTTCTTCAATAGCATAATTCAATAACATAATGCTCCTACAAAATTGCAAAAATGATCAACGAGGTTTGTTTAAAATTTTCGTTTTTTGTTAAAAAAATAAAAATAAATAAATAAATGGACTAGCATTATTGGCATTAGCATTATATTTTAATTTTAATACGTACTCTTTAGTAAGTGTTTGAGAATGTTAGTCTAAAAATGTTTTGGTTGTTTGAAATGACTTTTCAAACGGTTTTTTTATAGGCAAAACATGAGAGTTTCAAAAAAACCACAAAGGACTTGGTTCGGAGTGTTTTTTAATCTCAAAATTGTTTTAGGGAAAAATCTTTATTGACTTATAACTTTTTGGAAAATAAGTTTTTAAAAATTATTTGGATTAGTTTTTATAGTGGAAAAAACGAAAATGTCAATAAGTTTGATTTTAAAAAATGTTTGACTTAGGGGCAAAATAACCAAAAAGGATCATTATTAGGGTAGTTAATAGGATATATTTGTAATTTTCTACTTTTAAGATTAAAAAGCACTCCCAAACACTTTTGAGGTGCCAAATTCTACACAATAGTTTCAAGGTTTCAATTCTTAATATTCCTATTATTCTATAATTGACATCTCACGTGAGCTTTGAGGTGGGTTGGTGTAGGGGATAATAATTTATGAGGGTAATAACGTTTCTCATTTGTCCATATTAGGTTCCTAACATATTTTTTGTATGTATTACACCATTAGGGGTGTTTGGTACAGGGAAATAAAAGCAGAGAAAATGAATTAATTACTTTTCCCTTGTTTGGTTATTAAAAAAAACAAGGAATTGAGAAATAAACCAATTCATTTTCCATCAAAATAATTCTTTATTTTTAAAAGAGAAAAAGGGAGAAAAAGAAGTTAGACGTGGGTCGAGAATGTCAAAGAAAAAAAAGCGGAGAATTCATAGTCCCCCCCCCCCCCCATTCGATCCAAGTCACATTCAATTTGCGAATTTTTTCAAACAATCGGTACCGGATATCATGGAATCGGCCCACGATCACAAGAAATTATCGTTTGCCCTACATATGCCTTACTCCTCTGTGTTGTTCGAAACTTGGAATTCACGACTTCAGTTTTCTTTGTAGCAACATTGGTTGATTTTGGCATCATCGATCATCTTCCAGTTGAAGGTATGACTTCATGTTTCTTTCTAATCCTCTTTGTTGGTCGATTATGTGCTAATTTGCTATGAATTTTGTTTTTGATTTTCAATTCAAGAATATGTTAATCTTGCTATGAATTGCTTATTTTTGCATGTTTGAATCTTCCTATGTTGAAATCTATCTTGGTGGTTGAATCATGTAGATAAGAGTTCAATGATGATCAATTGCTATTTGTTCATTGTTTATGCTTGAGTTGAAAGAACAAAAACATTTTTTTTTAATTTCAGGTTTTTTTCTTCAATTTGAACAATCATAAAAGCTTTATAAAAGCTCGGAATGATGCGATTTTTTTTCAAACTGTACTTCTCTGTCTTGTCTATGTTTTAGAATCGAAAAACGACTTAATTGGTTAAGTTTTTGTTGAGTTATACAACCACAAACAGGAGTTGTTATGATTGTTGCATAATATTTCAGCACTTATCAAAATTTTCCAACTTTGAACCATCATAAAAGCTTTATAAAAGCTCAGAATGATGCGATTTTTTTTTCAAACTGTACTTCTCTATCTTGTCTATGTTTTAGAATCGAAAAATGACTTAATTGGTTAAGTTTTGGTTGAGTTATACAACTAAAAACAGGAGCTATTATGATTGTTGCATAATATTCCAGCACTTCTTATATATTTTGTCCAACTTTGAACCATCTAAAAGCTTTATAAAAGCTCGGAATGATGCAATATTTTAAACTATATTTATCTGTCTTGTCTATGTTTTAGAATTGAAAAATTGCTTAATTGGTTAATTTTTGGTTGAGTTATATAGCCATCAACAGGAGCTGTTATGATTACTGCATAATATTTCATGACTTTTCATAAATATTTTGTCCAACTTTGAACCATCATAAAAGCTTTATAAAAGCTCGGAATGATGCAATTCTTTTTCAAAATGTACTTCTCTATCTTGTCTATGTTTTAGAATCGAAAAACGACTTAATTGGTTAAGTTTTGGTTGAGTTATACAGCCACAAACAGGAGTTGTTATGATTCTTGTATGATATTTCAAGCATCTATTATGTAAATTTTTTTGTAGAAATGGCAGGGAAAAACAAGCACACATGGACTACTGAAGAGGATGCAAAGTTAATTGAGGCATTGTTGGAGTTACATGTATCCGGAAAGTATGATGGTGCCGACAATAGATTCAAACCCGAGTATTTGAAGGTAGTGCAACAATTACTAGATGTAAGTCTTCCTAACTTGGGTTTGAATGTAGAGCCTCATATTAAATCGAGGATGAAGACATGGAAAAACCATTTCAACATTGTGCACGACATGGTATATGGAACAAACATGAGTGGATTCGGCTGGGATACGGATAAATGTTGTGTTACTGTCGATGCTGAAGTTTGGGATGAATACATAAAGGTACTACAATGATGATGTTTGTAGTATTTTTAGCACCATTAAAATATATTGTGAATGAATAGTAACCAAATAATTTTGTACCATTCCTGTAGAGTCATAAAGGTGCTGCATGTTTTCGCGATAAACCATTTCCTCAATTTGATAACTTATGTAAAATATTTGGGAAGGATAGAGCTACTATTTGGGAAGGATAGAGCTATTGGTCATAGAGCGAATGATCTTGGTGAAGATGTGACTGAAGAGACACAAATAAACTCACCTGTTGATGTGGAAGGGTTGAAAGAGATTGTTGAAGAGACGCAACAAATTGCTCGTGTCAATAGTAAACACAAAAGACCTCCAACGGATGACACGGAAAGCTCTTATAAGGAAGCAGCAAAAGAAATGAAAGAGACTTGCAAGGAGGTTGGTGAAAAACTTAATCAAACAATATTTAATATTGGAAGGCAAGAAAATAAGGAAGCATGTGATATGATAGATAAAGTTATCGAAGATATACAACACATGCCAAATATCAATGACAAACAGCGAATTAAGGCGATTGACATGTTTAGCAAAGATCAATTTCGTGCTCGGGTATTTTTTAAGATAACAGAAAAAGAAAAGATTTGTTACATGGAAATGATTGGGGATGACTCAATATCATGATTATGTTATTTTAATTAATGTTTTTTTTCTAGTTTTTACGAATATTGAAGTCGACTATTTGCACATTCTGTATTAGACATAGTTATGTATTTTAGTTGTTAGGAATATTGAATTATAGTTTTTGCATATATCTTACAATGGACATAGTTTTTGAATAGTATGATTTGCATATTTTTTTAAAAAATCTATTTGTAAGTTATTCTTTTATATTAGAAATATGTTTTCTAACAGAATATGTATAAAAAATAATATTAATTGATTAGAAAATAAATTATTTAGTAACAATTAATATTATAATAAAAAAAATTAAAAACATAAAAGATGCATATTTTGATTAATTAAGATATACATCATAATGCATTTTTATAAAAAATGTTGTTTCAAAATGAATAAACAAGGTAAAAAAATTCATTTATATTTCATTGATTAATACAACCAAACAAGAGAAATGATTCTCAAAAACATTTCTCTAGTGGATTCTCAGATCTACCAAACAAATGAGTCAATTCTCTTTCTCTGACTTAATTATCTTTCTCTGCATTTTCATTCTCTGTAGCAACTTCATTTCTCTATACCAAACGCGCCCTTAAAGTTGGTATAACCGTTTAGAAATAATCATTTTTACCGGTTTGTTCTTGTTAAAATGACTATTTGTAAAAGGTTAGAATAACCTTAATAGTGTAATACGCACAAAAAATACATAGGGACTTAAAATGGACAAACAGGAAACGTTATTACCCTCCTAAGATTTTTAGTATTTATTATTTTGAATATATATTTTTCAGATTTTTAGTATTTATTTGTATATGTGTATTTCATATAAAGTTGTTGAAATTAAAAAGAATAAAAAGTAGAAAGGTTTGGATTGGATTGGATTTTATAACCACATCATCCATTTAACCTTTAGCAAAACAAAACCTCTAGCAAGAAGCTAGAGAGAAGAACAAATTAAGGCCGGATTGGATTTTGTAACCATGTCATCTAGTTAACCCGAGCCTTAGAATTCTGAAAGGAAAACCAACAAAAAGAAAGATTCACAACAAAATCAAAGAGCCTATATTTTCAAGGTTTATTGTTACTAAAAAGTAAAGAATTACGAAACGTCCAAAGCACTCATATGACCACCATGAACACTGACTCAACAATTGGGCGTTCCATATGAACCGTCGGTCTAGAATCCACTCAATCCACCACATCACGGATAGATGAAAACACAGGAAGGTCCAAATGAAGCCAATGTCCAACACGACTCCATACCTGATCAGCAACCGAAAACTACAGCAACAAATGCTTCACACTTTCTTCAGTCCCTCCTCTAATCCCCCGACGACAAAGAAAATTACATCCCCCTGAATCCCATTATTCACTTACTCGAGCATCTTGATTAAAGGTCAAAGCAAAGAGCCTCCCGAACCGCTCCCTAAGACGAATATCCAAGCACCAAACATCCTTCTAGAACCTCGTTTGAGTTCCATCCCCCACCACTCTATACATGAAATTAGAAGGAATACAACCATTCTCATGGAGGTGATTAATGGATCTTACAATCTTTTGCCACCCCCCCCCCCTATTCTCGAATCGTCCGAAAACCACCACCTTCCCCATGACAAAATTTGACAATTTAAACCCAAAGAGCTCCCTTGTCATTAAGAAACTGCCACTTCTATTTATAAAGAAGGCCAAGGTTAAAAACATTCAAACTACCAACCCTAAGACATACAAGTTTCTTATTTAAAAAGTAAAAATTTACTATAAAGGTTTATAGTTTCATACGGGGATAATGACTTAGGAAGGTAATAACGTTTCCCGTTTGTCTATATTAGGTCTCTAACGTATTTTTTGTGTGTATTACACCACTGAAACAGCTCAAATTTTCAAATAAAATTTTCATTTAAAACAAAACATCATTATTCGACAAAAGAGTTTATTCCAAGTTTATTGCAAAAGTATAAATAATAAATCTCCAAGATCCTCAACAATGGCAGTGTGTACGTGTCACGCCGGCGCCTTCCCACGGTCATCACTAGTACCTGAAAAACATAAAAACAACTAGTAAGCATAAATGCTTAGTGAGTTCCCCAGTATACGACTTACCCACACACGCCTTCCGGCCCGGACCTTTCGGTCCACATAACATTGCCTTCCGGCCCGTAACATAATCGCCTTCCGGCCCATAACATATCGCCTTCCGGCCCGTATTAAATTGCCTTCCGGCCCATAGTATTTTGCCTTCCGGCCCATAATAGAATAAAACATAACACATGTAACATAACGCACATAACACATAAGTCATACATCATACCGTTCTTTCTATCACATAAAGTCTCGCCTTCCGGCCCGTATAAGCATACATCACATATAAGCATACATCACACATAAAGCATCTACCTCTCTAGACATAGCATAAATATAACACATACGACCTTCCGGTCTCACAGTCAAACCCTTCCGGGTGAAGTATAGTGAGAAGACTCACCTCGTAGTATGCAAGCTATAAACCCTTCGAGCTACTCGCACTCGATCCGCTAATCCGCAGGTTCCCTATAATACCACATACCTTTATTAATGATCTTTTCAAACAAGACAACTGACCCTACTAAGTTACATACAGGTCAACGGTCAATCTTGACCGGACTCGTCGAGTGCAAAGGGCAACTCGGCGAGTATAGACACCCCGACTCCACTCGCCGAGTCTAAAGAACGACTCGACGAGTTCTAGTAGATCTTCAAGCTACTCGCCGAGTCTGAAGAGCAACTCGGCGAGTCCTAGTGAATCTTCAAGCTACTCGCCGAGTCTGAAGAACAACTCGGCGAGTCCTAGCCATGCAGTCAACCCGCTGCCTCCTGTATTTCGCATGATTTCGAAGTATATAGATGTGGGGCTTCCTGGACTTTCACATATACTATTACAGGGGTTTTTAAACACTTGTAACAACACTATAATCTAACAATTCCTTAAATGGGTTTCCTAAACCCTAAATTCGCATACAACGTAAAAACTATAGATTATGATCCGAAGATTACCTGGAAACGTGTTCCCTGTGTCCCCAACCTCCAGTACTCGACTCCTTGGACTTCCTTTGATCACCACCTTGCCTCTCTTTGTCTAAAAATCTCTTCAAGCTTCCTCTAGCCCTCACTCTTGCTCCAGATGCCCACAAACTCCCAAGGTATCTTCAATCGGCCAAAAGACGCGACATGACGGCCATAAGATCATTATATACGATTCAGAATCGAAACGGCTAGGGTTCAGCTGAACAGCGTCGACTCGCCGAGTCCCTATTGGACTCGTCGAGTCCAGTCGTGTATCTGCGACCAAGACCATGGCCCTACTCGACGAGTCATGCACCAACTCGCCGAGTCCCCTCCTAAATGTGCCCCAAAAATAATTTAAAGAAATACCTGAAATTTCGGGCTGTTACAACCACTAAGGTTGTTATAACCGTTTAGAAATAATCTCTTTTCCCGGTTTCTTCCTGCTAAAAGGACTATTTGTAAACGGTTATAATAACCTTAATAGTGTAATACGCACAAAAAATACGTTAGGGACCTAAAATGGACAAACAGAAAACGTTATTACCCTCCTAAGTCATTCTCCCATTGGTGTAGGTATATACGAACCTACAAGTGTCAAGCATTTTAGAGTATACATGCAACATTAAATTTTCAGTCAAATATGATGATATCACAATAAGTATTAGAATGCCAAAATCAGTTTCAAGAATTTATGTAGCTTGAAGAATGTTTTAATTGTAAATCTTGAAGGTAACTCGAGAAATTCGAAACACTAAAATTTATCTCTTGATTACTTAAAGAGCATACCAAAAATCAGCAAATGCACAATCTACTTGACAAGAACGTGTCTCCATGGACATAAATTTAGATGTTATATGATAATGTTTGGTTAAACACACCATTTTAGGCTATGATACATATCGATCGAAATAATGATTAAAAGACTCGAAACAAGCAAACATGTTATATATCCAATGGTATATATGCTACTGAAATCAATATAATTTGTATTGATTTTACACATATCAATGTCTACAATGGAGCGTGCAAACAATGAAGATGGTAAAGAGCAATTTGCACAATAATAGGAGTGATGAACATTTGAAAAACTGTACTGTTTTATATATTGAGAAAGATATACTACACTAGTAAATGGTTTTCAAAAATATAAAAACTAGTGAACGATTGTGAGGCATTGATTAATATTTATTGAATGATGTTTGATATTTGGTATTATAACTTGACACAGATGGTAAAATTTTAACCAAACTTTTTCGAGTTTATTTTGTAATTTCAGTTAAGTTAGACACTCATTTTACAAATTAAATCATAGATTCGCCACTCGTACTCGTACAAACATATGTTGTCTTGTCGACTTCATGTGGTTGCCATTTATACAATAAGAGAAGGATAAAGATGTATAACCGTATATGGCATCTTAAGCATGTTTATTCTCACGATTACATATAAAACTTCTACATATGATTTTATTCAACTACATCAAAGAATCTAACACTTAATTCCCCATTCGTGTGAAAGTGAAAGAAAAAGTATCCTGGTATAAAACAAAGGCCGCTATGAATAACGATAGTGCCAAAAGCGATGATGTTGGTAATAATAATATGGTATGAATACATGAGTTTTATAAGTATATATGAAATAACGATAGCACATTAAAGTAAAGTTGTGTTAGGTTAGGTCATTCTTCTTTTTGTGGTAGTAAGTAAAAGAAACACTGATAATATTTGAAGATGATTAAAGAACACATTTTCAATCAATCACATAACATATTCATAGAGAATGTATTAATTCAAAGATGAAAACATATTGGACTTCCAAATAATATTTGAAGAAGAACCCACATCACCATTCAGAAGAAGCAGTCTTCCATGTAGAGAAATATAACAAATCTTAAGCTTAGTTTGTTTGTTTGTTTGTTTTCTAGTTGGAGGAGGAAGTTGTTTGTAAACGAGATTTGATCCACGATTCCAGGTATTGGAGCTCCTGATTGTTTATTGAATGGGCAAGACCCGGATACGCCTGTCGTTTCATTTCGTTATAACAACTATGAGCTACTTGTGTAAATTCAACTTTTTTCTCATTAAGCCATTTAATAATTTTAATTAATCTGGTAATTTTTTCAAGTTAATTTTTATTAAGCATAGTACCTTAAATTCACAATTTATGCCAACCCGTTGAAGGAATGGTGGGCCCGCTTGTCCAGCTTCAAACAACACTGTTCCATCAGCTATACCATGCGACCACAATATTGGTGTCTACACATTAAACCAAATCAAATCCCTCATTATAACTTATAACCACAAACTAAGTAAAATTTTCCTCCTACCAATAATCAAAAGGGCATTCATGTCTTTTCCTTCCATAGCTGAGAAAACATGTCCCACCTTTTTTTGGTTGATATTAAAAAATTGCAACTTTTGTCTCATTGATACCAGTCTCTGTCTCAGTCCCAAGGTCCCACCAAAAACATCTTTTTAGGTGAACTTTTGTCCCATTCACACCAATTAGGTGTTGTTTTTTGTTCCATTGGCATAAGTCCCTGTCCCATTTTTTTGGGCGGGACAAATATTTACAGTTCATGTCAAACACAGTACAAACTGTTTTGTCCTGCTTATGTTTGTGTATAACTAACTCATAAATGCAATATTACATCACCAGTTTGTTTTTTGATTTTTTAAAAATATATATATATATATATATATATATATATATATATATATATATATAATATAATAATACCCTTTTGGCCTCTGGTGTGATCTGTTCAATTAAAGTAGTTGAATTAAAAGGAACCCATCCGCTAAAAACCGCACCCCCTCCAAGAGTTTTTGGATATAACAGAACACTAGCCAAGGTCAACGCCCCTGCAACATTTTATAACCATCTTTGTATTATTCCCCACTTTTTTTTTTTTTTTTTTTTTTTTTTTTTAAGAGAGAGAGAGAGAGAGAGAGAGAGAGAGAGAGAGACCTCCTTGACTGAATCCACAGATGAACACATTCTTAGGGTCAACTCCAGTAGCTATCTCCTTGTCAATCACCGTATGCACATTCCGAACTGCTTTAAGCAATGAACTTTCATCCGTAGGGGAACTCTGTACATTTCATATGTTAAAATGACTTATTTGCCCATCTTCATCCTTCTGCATATGAATCTTAATGGTATCGCTTTGGTCCACGTTATTGAAGGGTGATTTAGATATTTGACAAAAATAATCACAATTGCCTTCAACTACATGCAAATTTAATATCGACTCCCTGCTTATGAAAAGAAGCCCAATAGGTGTTTTTAATTCTAGAGTAAATTACACGAATGGTCCCTATGGTTTGGGGTAATTTACACGTTTGGTCCCTAACTTATTTTTTTAACTCGGAAGGTCCCTACTGTTTGTTATTGCTACACATTTGGTCCCTATTGTTTGTTTTAGTTACGCGTTTGGTCCCTATCTTACGTAAAAAGACAATTATTTAAATAGAGAAAAATGATATAGTAGGTAAGGTAAGGAGAGAGGATGAGATTGAGGGTGTGTTTATTTAAATAAATTAAAAAATCAAGGGAAAAATAGATTTTTTATGTAAGACAGGGACCAAGCGTGTAACAAAAACAAACAGTAGGAACCTTCCGAGTTAGAAAAATAAGTTAGGGACCAAACGCGCAAGTTACCCTAAACCATAGGGATCATTCGTGTAATTTACCCTTAATTCTACTTCTTTTGTTTAAAGTTTACCATATACATATATATATATATATATATATATATATATATATATATATATATATATATATATATATATATATATATATACATCCAATTTTTAATAATGTAATGTAACTAACCATATTCCATCATATGCAGATTTATAATATAAAGTATTATAGAATATCAACATTAGTTATCTAGAAACAGCTTAAAGTTAACTTACAGATGTTATAGGTATCTCGTGAATGTCAAACCATGAAGGCATCACTGAACCATCTGAAAAGTTTAGAGTTAAGATATCATCATATTAGTATAAAAAGTTATGTCTATAGTATATGATGTGCTCTATAAATGTAAATGATATTTAAGATATATAACAGAATGACAGCATTTGTGGTGAAACAGAAAGAAAAAGAAATGATAACAATTAATTTACTGGGAAAAGCCTCGTTTCCTCCACTGTCTTTATTAAATCATTCTTTCTGCATTAAGTCAGAGAAACACTCACTTATAGCTAAGTCCATAAGATAATAAAAAACAGAACCTATGTCTAAATCTATTACAACTGTTTTACATCAAAGTCCCAATAAACAATTTTCAATTTTGAATCCTAAAAAACTAGACATCTATAACTCTTTGGGGGCTAAGAATAGAACTAGAAGAATCCCCAAGAAAAATATATCAATAACTATGAAACCCGATAAAATGTTACAGTCATCTTGGATATATGAGATAATCTATTGATCATACTATGATGATCTATAGCTCATTATACCTCTATTAGAATGGTATTGTATATTCTTTTTTGTATCTTCTTCACTTCGATATTCCGATTCTACAAGCAAAGCTTTTGTTACTGTTAGAGTATCCTCAATGGAGTCATCGGAAGCTCATTAGGCACCATCAGGAATAGTAATTACAGCTAAATTTGAGTGTATGTGCGTGTGTTTTTAACAATTACAATTTACAGGTAACAGATGAAGTTGGTAAGTTAGTATTTTACTAATATGTCACATGAACATCAACAATCGGAACTTTTTCATCAGGGAAACAAAAATTGAAACCCTAAATTCTACAAATATGCGTTAATCTCGCATGTGATCCATAACCGAGAATCAACAAATCATAGTTAAAATTCGGAATGAGTTAGTTATTAGTAACGGGGACTTACAGTTACAGGTAACAGGTTGAGATGGAGCAGAAGGGAAAGACCAACGAGTGTTGGCGAACTGAGGCGAGGTGAAGAGTGCTTTGATGGGTTCATTGGCTGGACCGGAGTCACCTAGACCGTGCAGCCATAAGATGAAGCTTCGAGACGCCATTGATTTCGAATCGATGGTTGCTTGAGAAGGAGAAGAGAGGAGTATTGTGAAAATGGTGATGGAGAAAGTGAATGCGAGGAGTGCAACTGGTTTTAATGCGGAAGAAGGCTTCATTTTTCTTGTCGGGTCTTCCTTGGGGTTGGTAGCCCTCTTGACAATAATATATTTTATTTTCCGGGTATGGAACTCAAAAAAATTGGGTATGTCGTAATAATCATGACGAGGGTGCAAGCGGAATTTTATAGTAGGGATCAATGTTTTAAAAATGTGTTTTTTAATTGAACCGGTATGGTATCATGATCGGTTTTCTGTTCAATCGATTCGACCATCAAGTTAATCGGGTTCTGTAGTTGTAATGTTTTTTTCTATTTTTCCTACACATACATACATATATAAAATATGAATTTGATGTTCACAAATTCGAACATAAAAAATACACATAAAAATAAGTTGTAGATAAATCTAAATACATTAAAAAAACATGTAACCATAAGTTTTAGTATTTTTCACCAGTCCATATATGTGAAAAAGAAAATAAAGTATAATACCGTAATGAAATATAGTTTTAAATAAATACAAACACATCAAAAAAACTTTATAACATTTATCATATGTTTTTATTTAGAGAAAACTAAATAGATATGAAAAAAAATCACCAAAGTTTATTATGTAAATTGTTTTTTTTCATGTGTTTTTATTTGATTTAACCGGTTTATTTTGACCGGTTCAACCGGTTTTTTCAAAAAACTGGCCGGTTCAATTTGGTTCATAAATCAATGTAAAACTGGTGATAGTTGAACCGTGCTCTCCACCGGTTCCCGGTCCAACCGGTTTTTAAAACATTGGTAGGTTTACAAGCACAATAGTATTAAACAAAATCGATTTTTTTTTCGTGTCATATAGACATTTCATAGAGACAACTTCTCCAAAGCCCAAGTGCACTCGTTTGATCCACGAACCCTCTAAGCACTTTATCTATCAAACTCAAAAGAATTGCATTATGCGCTCTTACCAGAATATTCACCTTCCTTTCAGTTGCCTTGTCCTTTGGCGGTTTCGATTCTCTCTCCATTGCCGTTGCACATCCTTGTTGAACCAAAAGAGCCTTCATCTTCACCTTTCACAATGTGAAGTCATTTAAACCATTGAATTTCTCCGAATCAAACTTGTGAGATGCCATCTTCAATCACAGGAATACAAACTACAACTCTGATACCACTTTTTAGGAAGTAAAGCGGATAAATAAAAAAACTATTAGCACACAAGAAACATTATTTACGTGGTTCGGTTAAGGTGACATATGTCCATGGGAAGGAGGGGAGTATTATTTTATTTCAGAGCTCTCAACCAGAGGTTACAAGTATAATTACATAGAGATTCGCCCATTGTAACACCCAGAATCAGAAAGACCAAGAAAGGAAAGGAAAACCCTAAGTCAAAGGGGTCAACTCGTCGAGTCCATAAGTGAACTCGACGAGTCAGAGCAGGATCCGGGTTATGGAATAAGTGACCGACTCGACGAGTCTTCTCATGGATGATGTTTTTTTTGGATTAGTGTCTAAATCCATAACTATTTTGGTATGTACTTGACCCGATGGTGCATGGTCCTTTTGGGTTGCCTTCACCAAAGCAACTTGATAGGATGAATTATGGAGAGAAAGGATTGAATATGATTTATTAATATATTATGAGAATAATATATTAAAGGAGAAATCATATTGTTTAATTAATATTAGTCAATAATTAACTGGTAATTAGTTTTGTGACTAAAAGAGATTAATTAAATTAAAGGGACTGGAATTGTAATTATAAGATAATTGTAATTTGGTCTATGGATTGCCTTATATTAAGGAGTAGACGAATTCTATGGGAAAGCCCATGAGGAAATCGTCCAAGGCCTTAAGGAAAGGAATCTATGGGTTGCTTAGGGCTTAAGCATCCAATTTAGGGTTTCCTTGTTAGATAACCCTAATAGCCTAACTATATATACATCCCTTATAACCTAAAAACGTGGCTAAGCATCCTTCTAGGGTTTCACACGTTTTAGGGCAGCCTCCATCCTCTCTCCTCTCCATCCTCTTGCTTTTGGTGTTTGTGAACCATTAGAGGAGTGACATTTGTGACTCTAAGCTTTCTAAAGTCAATACAAGGAGGAATTGAGATTGTTATTGCTACATAACAATCAAAGTATGTCTTAAACCCATTCTTATGTTAATATGATTACTTGTATGCTAGAATTAGGGTTTATAGTCTTGGATAACTTGCATGTACAATAGAGAAACCTAGATCCAAGCATTAGGGTTTGTATGAGCACATAGGATGTTCTTATGACCAAAAGCCATCAGTGGTACCAGAGTCATGATTGGTTTCTATTGTATTGATGCTTTGTTTGTTTGTTCAAGCTTAAAAATCGAAATTTTGGGATTCTGGGGGCTGAACTTGCCGAGTCTATAGATGAACTCGCCGATTCCATGCTGACTCGACGAGTCCATGCCTGACTCGACGAGTCAGTCGGTCAGAAAGAGGGAAAAACGAGATTTCTTGCTGTTTTTGCTTGAGAATACTTGCCTTATCATGTTAGATCAATATAAATCCGTTTTTTTATATATATGAGTATATTCTTGATCTAATTGAAGATATTTATCAATTAATAAAATATTTGTTTCCTTATGTGATAATTGATTAATTATTTTGATTAAATTGGTAAATTCTTTTGCAAGAAATCATTAAATAAATCAAATATGGATAATTATGCAATTAAATGTTAATTTCGATTATTTGTTATTTGATCCTTGTGTTATGAAAAGTTTCATATTTTCCCCTTTAGGTTTTATAGTTTAAATTTGAACTCAAAAGTTTTGTTGTTTTGAAATTTAAATAGTTAAAACCCTCATGTTTTGAAAAAAGGTTTCAAAACTTGCCCTCAAGTTTTGGAATTTAAATTTTGATTAAAAGTTTAATTTTGATGTATATTTAAATTCTAACCCTAATGTTTTGAAATGTTTCAAAACTTGCCCTTAAGTTTTGGAATTTAAAAGTTGATTAAAAGGTTTAATTAGGAATGTTAAATTCTAAAACCCTACTAATGTTTTGAAAGGTTCAAATCACACCCTTGTGGTTTTATTAATTAATTAAGGTGTATAATTAAAAGAGGTTTGATAAATCCATAAAAGTTTAGGTTTACAATTTAATTGAATTAAAAGTATAATTGTTAAATTTGACCACCTAGTATTTTAAATGTGTAAAATACACCCTATACTATATATAACATTAAAAGTCTAACATTATATATATATATATATATATATATATATATATATATATATATATGTATGAGTAAAAAGTCAGTCTTACCGTTAGTAGGCCTCATTCACGAAGCTGGACTATAAGGGGTGTTTAAGAAAATTGCCTATAATATGGCGATTGAATGGGTATCCACTCTTACCCACCGCACTCTTGACTAGTGGAGGGTCGTTAGCCGAACGGGTAGGATATGACGAAACCTTCCATTATAAGTATGATGAAGTACAAAAGTAACTAAATGTTTTTCAAATTCCCAATCTTAGTTACTTAGGCAAAGTGAATTGATGCAATTCCATGAAATTACACTTTGTGCCCTTGCGAAGACGTTAGTGGAGCGTGTGTGGTTTACCGGCACACTAAATGGTTCTAAGCAAAGGTAGCAAAGGGTGACTCAATGTTTGTCATAGTTCGGTGGAGCGTGTGTGGTTTACCGACACATTGAATAGGTGACTGTAATATGTGAGGGAACCATGTAAATTTGCATGGTTATTCACACCCGCTTTGTGATCCTCGACATCCCAGTCACAAACAAGAGGGGCATATCGAGATTTAAACATGCCATTGAAATGTTCAATGAATCTCAAAGGATCTAGGAGTTTTCATAGATTTAAAACTTAAATTTCTTTTTCGTTTTTTTCATGGTGGAAATTAGTGAATCGTCATTCACTTACCTTCAAATGTTTTGCAATTTGGGTTACAGCATCCCTCTCCCGAGTTGTAGAATATCGTGTTGGGTCCTAGCCTTAGTATCTCATTTGGGTGATTTACTAAGGACTCAATCAATCAACTAACTTGAATTCGTTTTCTCCCGGTTTGTAGATGTCTAAGTTCGACAACTATTGTCTTCCCAAATCCCGTGGAGCAAGCATTCCACATGAAGATGGTATTCCACGATTCGATCGAGGAACAAGAAATCATGCTTCACTTCCTCCTCCTCCTCCTTCCATTGTTCTCCCTAACCCACAAGATCGAAGAATTGAAAGGTTCAATGTCACTAAATCCATATTGGAAATGAAACATGAAGATGGTAAACCCGTGTGTGCCCACGTTCTAGGAATGAAATCACACATTGATAGGTTGAGGATGTTGGGTGTGTCATACCCGGATAAGTAGGCTGTGAATTGGGTTCTTCAGTCACTTCCCGAATCATATAATGAGTTCAAAAGAAAGTATTATATGATGGATCATGACGAAAGCCTCATTGACCTAACTTACATGCTCATTGCTGCTGAATCAGAAATGATTTGGCGAAGCAATGGAGCGTATTTGTTGGGAAAGTCAACCGACCATGCTTCCGAGGACGTTCTAGGAGAACCGACCTGCATTTGCTGCCAAAAGAAAGGGCGTTGGATACAAGTCTGCCCAAAGAGCCTGAAGAGTCCAGAAGATGGGAGAGTCAAAGTGTATGGCTGCGCTTCGGGCAAAATCCACTATCTAACTCGATTAAGTTCCTATTCGTTGATTCATGGTACATAATGTGATAAGATTGCATTTGAATGTTTTGTAGGATCGATGAAAGGAGAGGAAGCTTGATGAAATAGAGAAAGATGAGTCTAATCACGAAGAAATGGATCTCGATCGCATGAATTTGAAGATTAGATTTTAAGCTTAGATAGTTATGATAGAGTTAGAAAATTTTCTTTTGAAATACATAGTTTTCAATGGATTTTGCATTGTAAGGACAAATGTTTTCCACTGCTTTTATAAATAAAATAAATTTTCGTTTGACTTATTTATTTATTTGTTTATTTCCTTGCAATGAAATCGTTATGAAAATTGGTGTTTGCATATTTCTGCAACAAATGGATATGATTCTTATTTATGGTGTTTATGGAAAAGTCAAGAATTTATCAAATAGGGAGAGTTTCTCATCGCCCAAGTTTCAACTGGACAGAA